AGGACTGTGGAGCCACACTGCAATTTCTCAAGTGACCCCATTGCCTCCACTGGTCTTTCCCACACACCTGCTGCTCAGGAAGAGGGTCCAGGTTTCCATTTGGGCTGTCCTCCCTGGGAATCAGTTTGGTCTATCCACAGATTCATGGTCACACTAGCTTAAGAGAAGACACACAGTCATTTGTTTTAGGAAATACAGAAATACACAGTTTTCTACACTGAAGAACTGAATTTCTCTGAATTGTGCACAATGGTTTGGCATCTCTGAGAAAAAAAAGAATTCTTGTCCATGAATGAAATAAATGAGCCTACAGACATGCATGGACCCGTGCTGATCCCTGGGTACACACCAGGAACAGCAGTCATGACAGCAAGGCTAGAGGGAGGAGGACACAGAGTCCTGGACAGAGAACTGACTGCCTCTCCAAGAGCCTTGGATATTTCTGGTGAGTTCTATGCTGTGTGGGGGCTGCCTAATTCTTCCAAAGCCTGGAAAACACATAGCTATGAACACTACCCCATTTAGGTTTCAGATGATGGAATGCCGAGTATTGGTGAAAGGAACGACACCACTGGCAGCTGAGGTATAAAACCATGGCTGCTATGCTTGGTTCTGCTGGTTATGCCTGGGAGAGATGTTCTATGGGGCTTGGGAGTGAGAAGTGACAAAGCAGAGCAGTTGATCACGGGTGGCAAGGCCAGCCAGACCTGGCTGGCTTGGACATCGGGATGGAGTGAAAGGCAAATGCACCATGAAAACCCACAAAACAGGACTCCATATCACCAGAACAAAGACGGACACTAGTTCCTGCTGACTTCCAACAGAACTACTGCATAGGGAATACAAAGGTTAAAACATTGCTAACACAGCACGTACAGAAACACCTCACTGTCACTCCCTACAAATACATACTCCACTTACAAGTTTATTTTTAAAACCAGAAAAAAATTAATAAAAACACCTATTCCACAGAGATGATTCAAAAGTATATACACCTGTTAGTCCAAGGGCGTGTTCACCTGGACCCAGTGTCAGCACCATCAGAGGGCAGTGTCAATGACTGCAACTTGGACTAAAAAAAAGGATAACAGTACTTTCTGTGGCCTCGGACTAGCTCAGGATACACTTTAAAGCATTTCTGACAGACAGGCTTGCCCTCCAGGGCCTTTGTTCACACAGCACCAAGTCACCTGCTTACACGTAAGTATGTTTTGCACTGCTGTACAGGGATGGCATATTCCCACCAGAGGATGTAGGAAATTTAATTAAATGCTTCACAGGGCTTTAATATAGTGTTAAATGTTTTCATCACTTCCATTTAAAATTTGACACTCTCAACATCAATGACAAACTATATGACTGCATTCCTCCACCCTAAGGAAGGAGCTGGTGCATACCTCCCTCAGAAATGCTGCAGCGTCAGTACTACACCTAAGAGTTAGTTCTCAGTGTCAGTACTACACTTAACAGTTCTCTGCTAACCACTGGCTGAAATGCAAAGGGCCAGCGAAGGCCTCACGTCCAGTGGCATGAGCTGCCTGCCAACAGCGATTTTAATTTTGGTGCAGAACTGGCCTGTGTACTGTCTCACGAGAAGAGATGGTTAGAGCAAAGTGCTGGGGAGGTTGCTGCTCTGCCAGCGCAGGCAGGTGGTCTTCGAGTGTTTGTACAGGTGGCTGGACTGACTGAACCTCTTGCCACACTTGAGGCAGGCATATGGCTTCTCGCCCGTGTGAACTCGGATGTGCTTCTTGCAGTCTGTCAAAGTCAGAAAGGTTTTACAGCAGATTTTGCAGGCATACTTGCGAGCCCCCTCCACGACCAAGACATTGTGCTCTGATAAGGCCTTCTTGCACTTTGACAGGACATCGGCGGATGCCCTGGTCAACTGCGGAGGGCCAGGCTGGGAAGGGTGGCTGCTTTCAAATGAGGTGGTCCCGTTCATCATCAGCTGGGAACTAGAGGAGTTTTCAGGGATCTGTGAGCTCCTGACAGAAGTTACAACCGGCATTTTGGGAGCTATGCGTCGGTAGTACGGAAAGTTACTAGCTCCTCCTCTTGGGGAACCCATCACTGCCCTGGAAAAGGAAGAGTGGAGACCCAAGCCAGACCTGGAAAAGTCCATCCCAAATTGTTCTCCTTGGAAGCCTGAGGTCTGCACACACTGCAGGCCCATCACCTCCTGCACAGGCCTGACAAAGTGGGAGTCTGCAGGCTCACTGAATGGGTTCTCTACATGGGAACCAGGGGCAGAGGAAGGCCCACCTGCAGGCCCAGCCTCTGGACTCAACAGATAAGGGGCCTCACCCTCCAACCTGTAGTCACTGGTGGTGTTTGGGATGTTGTCATCGGTGCTCTGACTTGTGCTAAAGTTACTCCCCCTGCTCTTGTTGAGAAAATTTGAAATACTAAAAGAGGTCTTATGTTCTAGATTATTTGTGACTTCCAGAATGTGGATGTCGCCGACCCTGTCTGTGCTGGACTGGGGGTCTGAGAAGCTCCGATCGCTGCTTTCAGGGCTGAGGTCTATCTTCTCGGCACTGACCACCACGCCTTCCACTTCTACAGACTCGCTGCCCTCTGCTTGGGAGGTCACATCGCTCACTTCGTCCTGTGGCTCGGGAGAGCTCAGCGGCTCCGACTTCACCACCACTCTCATGTGTTCCTTCTCCCCAAGGCCAACCTCAGGATTTTCACATTGGAAACTGCCTTTCTCAGCTACAGCTTCTTGTTCAAAACTAGTTTCAACCTGAGTTGCACGAGAGGCCATGTTGCCAGCACTGCCATCTGACTGGCTGGGCACCTGGGCATCTTCTTGGGCACCAAAAGGCCTATCAAACATCATAGCACTGTCTTCCTGGTTGTCAGCCATCCCATCGGGTTTAGGATTATCCACAATTTTCAGAGAATCTGGTGAAAAGAACTCCTCCCGAGAATGGACTCCCGAAGGCCCGCTCTCTGGGGTAACATCTGAAATGGCAGATTCATCCATGGGGAGTCGGAGGCGCTGCCGGGCCCTCTCCTCTACAGACTGCTTGCGCTTGTGAAGGCGTCTCATGGGGAAGGGTGTCCGCTGGTCCAGGTTGTTGCGCATGGATGAGCTCATGGGGGCAGGCGGCTCCTCGCCACTCTGGCTGGAACTGAGGGCTGAGCTCACGATGCTCAGTCCCAGCTGCTGCAGCATGAAAGAGCGCTGCATGCGAGCACTCTGATCCTGAACACGCTCACTGGGGGGAGACATGGGCAGCGTCCTTGTCGTCAGGTAATGTTTACACGCTTTAACAACGGAGTTCAGATGCAGGTGAGAGGCTGCCAATAAGACATCCATAACGTTGCTCTCCCCTAGCATGAGGGTGGAGGTATACATCATGTCAATCAGTGCCGCAAAGGCCTCTGCTGTCACCACCTCACTATCTAGCTGGATCATGTTCATGGTTTGATCTCCCTCTGCCACAGAGAACAGAGCTCGGAAATGCGTGCTGCATGCTGCCAGCACAGAACGGTGGGCTTTAAAATGCCTGTTCCCCACTACAATGACACAGTCACAGAGCTGGCCATGAAGTCTCTGGTAGTTCAGCTGTTGAAAGATCTGCTCAAAGTGACCAGGAAAATCCATTGTCCTACAGAAAACACAAAGGAAAAAAGTGTTAAGACCTAACAAATCTTAACTCAGACCCAGCACATCCAATGCAGTGAGAGAGGTGTGGGGCTGGCAGGATGGCTCAGCCAGTTAATATTCTTACTGACAAACTAAGTTCCACCCCTGGGTCCTGGAGAATCAACTCCTAAGGGACGTCAAGTGACTGCTAAACACAAATCAGGTGACATGCACATGTGCACAAACACAAAATAAATCAAAAGGTGATTTATGACAACTTTAAGCATAGCTGGCCACATTTGGAGCTTTTAAAGCTTGTGATGTCTAATAATGGGCCTACATGTAAGAACTTGTCAACTAAAAAGCAAAAGTCAATTTGGCTTAAGCTTCAAATCCATGTACACATATGAGATCCCTTAGCCCTTCATGTAACTTGCTTAGGACACTGAGGGTCTCGTTAGAAAAGCCCAGTATGTGGGAGGAGGCCCATTTGCCCCACTGAAATTTGTTAGCATTCAGCATTTCCTAGAGCAGCGAATGCCAAGAAATTCCAGCATCCCTAGCAACCTTGGTGAAAAGGGCAAATCAATAGCAGAGAAGAACTGTAGCTAGAGAGATATGGAAGCTGAAAGTACACATGCACTCCCCTCCCATACTCCTTACTGCAGCCCTGACACCAGCACCAAAGATTCTGACTTTTGGAGGGGTTGTTGTTTTAAAAGTATAAAGCCAATACTGGAGAGATGGCTCAGCAGTTAAGAGCACTGGTTGCTCTTCCAGAGGACCCAGTTCAATTGCAAGCAACCACATGGTGACTCACAACCACTGTAACTCTAGTTCCAGGGAAATTTGAGAACCTCTCCTGGCCTCTCTGGATATTGCAGATGTGGAGGTAAAGACTCATACACATGAAATAAAGATAAATACATTTTTTTAAAAAAGAAAAAAATTAGGGCACAGCAAAAGTAAATATATGGTGACTCATACTATCCTGGCGCTAGGACTTAGATCCCAGTGTGTGTGACAGAAATGTTACCAAGTTCAGTTGTGGTCACAGTGGCATGACTCACAAATTTGCTACAAGAGCATGGATTACATGTTTAATAAGATGTTTTACAGTAATACATCATAATGCAAGAAAGCTTAATAGATTGCACCTTAAAAATAATAGAAAAGGTAGAGAGGCCACAAATAAGCTTGGCCCAGATGTTTTCAAGAACTATAGGGCACCTACAAAAGTAAGCAAAATGACTGCTTATAGTATCACCTGTGCTCAATAAAATCAAGGAACTTTTCCTTTAGGTAGCATGTCTTATGATTTCTTTTTTTTTAAGAGATGGAAATATTTACAGCTAAAACAGTAAATTTGCTTCAAAAGTATATACTTTCATATATTTGAAAGTTTTCAATAAAACAAGTTAAAGGAGAAAAAGAAGGGCCCTGGTGCCCTTTAATGCTGAGTCTGGACCCAGTAAACATCTGCATACTTCCTGGAATTATTTGAAATAAGAACTTGCTTATTTTCATTTAAGAAATTACTACATTTCCTAGGAACTTTATAGCTGCCCATCCGTTCCAAGTGTCTACCTCTTACTAGAGCATGGGACCTGCCCTCCCTAGTGGTTAACAGACAAGTCAATAACGGCAATGAGACACTTCTATGCCCCCTCCTACAGCTCTACAGCTGAAACAGAACAGGTTATTTTTCCTCTTAGGGGAGAAACTTCTGGCTTCTAGGATGGGGGTTTGAATGAATTAATTGCTAAGCCCGGGACAGGACATGTACACAGAACTCCCAGCATGTCAGAACCAATAAGCCAACTAAACCTCAGGTAGAACAGACTAAAAATAGACAACTCTAGATATGTTATGAGGAAGAAGCTGCTGCAACAGGGACAGGCTCAGGGCTCCTATCTGACACAGGAAGGGAAGGAAGTACTGAAAGTTTGCTGGTGAGGAGCTCCCTCAGCCTGGAGAGCACCTGGTGAGCAGTGAGAGCTTCAGCAGAAGCTGAAGCTGTTAAGAGTCTACACAGTCCCTCACGCCCCACCCCAATCACCACCCTCCCCCCCTGCTCAGAGACTAGGAGACAGCAGCCAGGCTCACACTTCCCAAGGAGACTGGAGTTTTCTATGTGTAAGATAGCTGAAAAGCCCAAACAAAATACATTCATCTTCAAGGCCAACCCATCCACTCAGCTTCCAATCAGTCCAGGCTTCACTCCTACTATGAATGTGAAGGAACAGCACATGCTGAGAACAAAACTCTTAGCACAGACCTCAAAGCCTCGGGGCTGGAAGATGGCTCACTGGTTCAGAGCACTGGCTGCTCTTC